CTTGGGACCGAGCAAAGTGTTGCATTTAGGGGAGGATTGCACTTATGGGGGTTGCATTTATGGAGGTTTTACTGTATCTCAAATTACATTTATTGTCACAGATACATATTACCTTTTCAGAGAAGCAAAACTATCATAAGTACGTTTGTTGAGAAGGAGCACGCATGATAAAAATACACATTTGCACCACGTTATACTCCCAGATAAGGGAGGGAACAATTAACGAATGCATCATCGCAAAATTTAATCCTTTGTCTGTTAGTCTCATCTGGAGATTTGATTACACAATGGCTCGTAACCAAGTTCGAGCAGGGGGTACAGTTGTTGCCATTTGAATGGTTTGATCGATCTGTAGGGTGGAGATAAATAGATGTTACGTGAAAGAATATAACCCAATTTATACGTATTGTGAGGCATGTCTTCTAGCTTCGTGACATCGAAGTGAATGGGTTCGTTTGCAAAGTTTAAGAATCTACCATTGGAGTCGAGTGGATGAACATGGCGCATACGTATAGTAGTAGAAGAACGAATGAGCGAACAATGAGTAATTACAGTCAATAGTTTATTTAATATAGCTTTCTGAGAAAGTATCATTTTGAAGATATTGTTTTATTGGTCCTTCTATCAAGCACGTTTTAGTAGGCGACAAGAGTATCACGGGAAATGAGAAATACGAGTTATCGATCTAATATATAGTATGTACAATAACTTCCTATGTTAAAGACGCACATGTGCAGTATAAGAATAGTATAGTCAATAAAATTAAATAGGTTTAGTAAAATTTTCTAAGCATCAATTTGTTGATTCAGGGCCGGGTATGGGACCGATTTATCCGAATTTATCCGACCAGATATAATAGCTTCAGATGTAAAAATTTATCCGCACATACTTATTATGGGTAATATGTAGGACGAGTATGTTTGTATTTAAACCATATCGCCTGCATTCAATATTCAATGAATGGACTTGGTCGTGCTAGTCTTTTATTGAAAATGCCCAATGTAGAATTCTTTTATGACATACGATGCCCATGGTCATACATTGCATCGAAACGAATTGAACAGGTCGTTCAACGAGCGAATGCAACCGTCAAGTGGGTTCCTGTTCGGTTGAGTGGTATCTACGAAGCTACGGTATGTGAATTCACAGCAAAATTACCTGCATTATTTTAATCAAGCCAACTTTTACAAGGTTTGCTTTTTTTTTTAATAGGGAACGTCAGGTATGACAAAGTTTGTATTAAAGGCCCAAGGCAGGAAATTTGGTTTTTAGCCAAATTATTTCATTTCCATATATCGCTAGGAAGTATCGTTCTGGCTGGTCCGAAATTGGCAAACTACAATCGAGATTTAACCAGAACTCTGAAACGATTCGATATACCATTCAACTTTCATCCCAAACATCCATTGGAGACGGTTGACGGTATACGATATTTTAATCAAGTTTTTCGAATCGCTAGGTGTTAACTGTATGTTGGTTCTTACTCTCTTTGTTTTTTTGAAGCACTCCGACTCCTCCATGCAACTCCCTCCTCTCACCGTGCTCAGCTAACCCATGCACTCTACCGTCTGTATTGGGTTGATAACGCAGACATTGTCGATCGCTCTTTACTCGTTTACACAGCAAAATCTCTAAACATTCCCTATTCTGAACCGTTAACTGAGTCCATTTTCGAAAACAAATCCTATCATAACAGTCTGTGCGAGGCTACTGATTTGGCGGTTAAGCGTGGAGCTCCGGGTGTACCTTCGTTCTGGATCAATGAATTCAAGAATGGCCGTTTGTATTTTGGTCAGGATCGCTTACATCTTGTCGAAGCTGCCCTACTGTCTGTTTCAAAAGGCGTGCCTCTTGAGCAAGTTGAGAATATTAAAAGTGTCATCCCGCGACGCAGGGCCAATGTACCTGTTCGGGGGAAAAGAACATTAAGGTTCTGGTTTGATTTTGCTTCACCATACTCGTACCTAGCGTATACCCAGTTGAAGAGAATAGCGCAAGAAGCTGGTCCTGGTGTCGAGATTGAGTACATGCCCATTTCGTTAGCTGCACTTTTAGCTCAGTAAGTATGATGGCTAGCGTTCCAGCTTGCAAACCAACCGATCAACCAGTGGGTCAATAATCGGTCGCTGATTAACAATCCTTTTTTTTTTCCCCCAAAGTCTCAAAACCGATCCTCCCCTAGCTCGCTCAAATGAGACTGAGGTTAAATACTTTTTCCGAGACCTCAATGATTGGTCCGAATTTTGGAATATTGTGTGCAAACAATCTGATCCTTTGAGTGAACAGTATACATACGAATGGGCAAAACAATTTCCTATCCGTAAGCCCTGTGCTCGATTTCGCATGGTTTATATTTTTCTATGAATTACGTCGTAACATCAGACTTTGTACAATTTACTAGGAACGATTACTGCGTTACGGGTTTTTCTTTTAGAACCAAAGACCATTGATTGTATCTGTGAGTATTCAATTTATGCTTTTAATCACGAATGGTTTCAAATACTTTAACTGAGCTTTTCACCTTTTCATTACAGTCAAAGCATGTTGGGCAAGGAACATTCCCATTGGCCAATCCCAAGAGATTCTTGCTTCGGTATTGAACGAAGCAGGCTTTGATGGCGAAGCTCTAATACAAGCAGCACAAACAAACGTCAAGAAAGTCAAAAATAAATTGTTAGAAAATTATGATTTGGCTGTAGAGTCTGGCGTTTATGCAGTGCCAACTTTCCAAGTGGATCAGGGAGAGCTTGTATGGGGAAATGATCGTATAGATGTAGTTCAGGATTTATTGTCTGGATGGAATCCAGATGAGGACGATGTTGTAACCGCAAGATTATAGTAATAGTTCTCTTAAAATAGAAATAAAAAATTTGATTTTGATGTTCTTACAGAAACCTGAATCTCTCTGTGACATCAGAATAAGATCACCACTATCTAACAGGCATCACGTAATGAGATCACCATGAGGATTCTAATTTTAGTGTGTCGTGAAGATGTGCCCACGAGATTTCGGGGGATGCGTGGAAATTTTACGAAGCTGAACAATCTAGCAGAATCTCATGACAAGATCGCCAGGATACTAATAGAAATTTAGCAATTTGTTGGCGACATCACGACGAGATGTTTGCAATATTTTCTGATTGTAAATGTCACATGGTTATCAGCACAACGTCCTGCAAATCTCATCGAGACATTTTTAAAAAATGCAAGTTTCTGTAAAGTTCAATTTGGGAAGGGCTCATCAGTTATTGCCATATCTAGTTTTTTATTTTATAATAGAAAACATTTGTAAGATAACAACATAACTTATTCTTAATATTAGACAGCTAATACTATCCTTATGACATTTTGTAGTACACTCCTGTTTTGACTTTCTACAACCACATCAGCCATCAGCACATGCACCTTTTACTTTACACATATCTCTTATTTGACTACTTGACATAGCTCTAACTATCAGCTATGCTCTCAAGATTATTGATTGTTGAGGTATATTATTACGGTCGGTCGGATGGTCTGGGGTTTGGGAGAGCAATTAATCTGTCGCGTAGGGGTGTTCTTCCGACCGAGGGATGTTACCAGATTAGCTTCGTACTACCGCCCTTAATACGGTAGTTGTTCAATTAAGACTGAATTCTAATCTACAAGTGACCTGCTTATATAATTAAATTAAATGCGCGCTTCTCAACTCCCTATCCGAGCTTCAAATTACTCGTGACTCCAAATAGGGGTACCCACAATAAAATAATAACAACAATTATTTTTATCGCGGAACCGAAAGGGAATAAATTCTATTTAATATTAAACAGGGCTAATTTCGATTTGATATTTGACTAGTCGGGTTCTGTCATTTGTCTCAAACTAATTAAACAATATTCGTTTTTAATAGATAATTAATAACTCTCGTTCCTCAATTAAGAGTACTGGATCAACAGAAATTTATACAGCTTAAGTGAGTTGTTTTGAGTGAGCTATTTTTACAACTTGAGTGAGCCGTTTATTAATATCCAGTTAAATAATTAATATTGCAACGATGAAAGAAAGT